GGTCATAACCCCCCCCCTCTCTCTCTCTCTCCCCTCCTCTCTCGGGGGGTGGGGGGGGTCATAACCCTCTCTCTCTGGAGGGGTTCATAACCCTCTCTGTGTGTGTGTGGGTGGGGGCGGTCATAACCTTCTGTGTGGAGGGAGGGGTCACACTCTTCTCTCTCATGGGAGGGGGGTCACCACCTTGTCTCTCTTGTAGGGGAGTCATACCCCTCTCTCTCCCTGTGTGGTTGGGTTCATACTCCCTCTCTGTTGGGAGGGTGTCATACCCCCTCTCTCTGTGGGGTGGGGGTCATATCCCCTCTCTCTCTGTGGGGTGGGGGGTCATACCCCTTTCTCAGGGAGGCATGTATGGATCATGCTGCCCCTCAGAGGGTATTAGTGTCAGTCTGTGCCTCTTTGGACATGTGGCTTGTCACACTGTCCCATCTTGAGTGTTGTTGGAGCTGTACCCCCATCTGGGTAAGTGAGGAGCATTCCATCACTCTCCTGTCTTGTGCCTTATAGATGGTCATGCTTTGGGAAGTCAGGAGGTCAGTTACTTACTCCAGGGTTTCTAGCCTCTTACCTGTTCTTGTAGCCACTGTGCTTATGTGGCAAGTTTATTCAATTTCTGGTCCGTGGTAACTCCCAGGAAATTGATAGTGGGGGACATAGTGATGGTAATGTAATTGAAAATCAAGGGCCAATGTTGGATTTTCTCTTGTTGGAAGTGGTCATTACCTGGCACTTGTGAGGTGCAAGCACCAGTGAACATAATCCTAACCAATGCAGTCCCTCTTCAAATGTCGTCCCAGGAATCTGTCTGCTGTATCTTCATTACACTCATTCAATACCCAGAAGATCCTTCCTCCGATGAGGAGACCAAAACTGTACACAACATTCCAGGTGTGGATGTACCAAGATCCTTATAATTGCAGCAATGCACCTATGCTCGAGTCCTCTCACTATGAAGGCCCACATGCCATTTGCTGCTTTCACCTTCACATTTCACACAAGGCTGTAGAAATTCTCTTGACAACAGTGTAAAATTGTTACACGAAACAAAACCAAATCAGTATTTGTCTGTATATATGTCTATATATAGATAGACATACTCTCATACATAATGCTGCTGTTAGATCTTAACACACACATTATAACAAAGTTTCACCATCCCAACATCGTCTGTTACAGAGATTCAGTTCAACAGAAATCCCGCTTCCTTCTCAGCTTTTTAAATCATCACTTAACTGATGCTTTTCAGTTTTTCTTTCTTGAACTATGGAGGCAGTTTTACAAATCTTTTCTGTGTCTACTGACATGAGCCCCTCACAATCAAGATGGCGTTAACCTTTTCAGTCCTAATAACTTAAAAGATTTCTATTCCCAAACTCTCCTGGCTTGGAAACTTCACAAACTAGAACTCATTTCTGCTGAAGTAACTGGTTGCCATGAATTGAACTGAATAAACTCCTGTTGCTTGGTTACCGCCCTTTTATATATGGTAACACATACTTATATATATTTACCTCTATTTTCAAATTCAAATCCTTCAATACATAAGTTATACATACGTCATTGCAGCAATCATTAGCAAACGTCTTCACTTTTGTATGTATTTTGTATGAGAGTAAGGCTCAGATTTATGATCATTGGAAATGCAGCAGTGCATACCCTGGGTAAGTGGCCTTGCTGCATCGAACCTCTCCTGTCAGAAAGTGGCTTCACTGTGCCACATTTGCCAGATGTGAGACTTGCATTTATTGCCCTTCAGAAGATAGTGGCTGTCCACCTACTTGAACCAGTGCAGACCAGCCAGTGAGATACACCCTATGTACCTCCTGTAACGGTTTGATTGAATTGAGAATTTTCCTGGTCGTTTCAGAGGGGAAGTTAAGAGTCAGCCATATTACTTTGGATCTGATTGTCAGACAGGTTGGCAGATTTCCATCCAGAAAGTGCATAAATTACCCAAATGGGTTTTTACTTTAATCTGGTACTTCTGTGATCAGTATTGATGAGGATAGCATTTTATTCCAGGTATATCAAATTATTGGAATTTAAATTGCTCTGACTGTCTCGATGGGATTTGACCTCCCATGCCTGGATTCTTAGCCCAATACTTTCCTGATTACTGCTCAAGTAACACTGTCACCATGCTGATGTCTCTTTTCTTTCCATTACTTTATCCAACTGAATATAAACCAGAGATTTTGTTCGGGTCACCTTTACAATATCTCCTCTTTCTTCCAGCTCCACCAATTGGCAAAATGCTGGGATTGCTGAAATTGCCGATTATAGTCACTGTGCACGTTGATGTGGTTTTAACCATTCTTACTGCCCTGGGAATTGGAAGTAGATTGTGGGGACTGTCGTACCCCAGAGCTGTAGTGTAAGTAAATCTTATTGTTGGTTTAAAATGTCATTCTTTTTGCAGTTATCTCCTATTATCAGATCCATTTGCTGTTTGTTGCTTTTCCGCTGTGAGATTGTATAATCATAGAGATCTACAGCACAAAACAAGGTCCTTCAGCTCATTGAGTCTGTGCGGGTGAAAAAACAACCACCAAATTAGTCTACTCCTATTTTCCAGCATTTGGTGCATAGCCTTGCACGCATTGGCATTGTAAAAGTGTACATCTAAATACTTAGAATCATAGAGTTGTCCAGCACGGAAACAGACCCTTTGGTCCAACTCATCCATGCCAACCAGATATCCTAAATTAAGCTAGTCCCATTTGCCAGCATTTGACCAAGATCCCTCTAAACCCTTCCTATTCATATACCTCAGAGATAGTAAGAACTGCCGATGCTGGAGTCAGAGACAACACAGTGTGGAGCTGGAGGAACACAGCAGGCCAGGCAGCATCAGAGGAGCAGGAAAGCTGACGTTTCAGGTCGGCTTTCCTGCTCCTCTGATGCTATCTATTCATATACCTATCCAGATGCCTTTTAAATGTTGTAATTGTACCAGCCTCCACCACTTCCTCTGGCAGCTCATTCCATACACGCACCACCCTCTCCGTGAAAAAGTTGCCCCTTCGGTCACTACTAAATCTTTCCCCTCTCACCTTAAACCTATGCCCCTTAGTTTTGGACTTTCCCACCACAGGGAAAAGACATTGTCTATTTACCCTATCTATGCCTCATGATTTTATAAACCTCCATAAGGGCACCCCCCAACCTTCAATGCTCCAGAGGTATAGCCCCAGCCTATTCAGTCTCTCCCTATAGCTCAAACCCTGGCAACATCCTTGTAAGTCTTGTCTGCACTCTTTCAAGTTTAACAACACCTTTCCTGTAGCAGGGAGACCAAAACTAAATACAGTATTCCAAAAGTGGCCTAACAAATGTCCTGCACAGCTGCAACATGACCTCCGAACTCCTATACTCATGTGCTGACCAATTAAGGCAAGTGTACCAAATGCCTTCTTAACTACCCTGTCTATCTATGACTGCACCTTCAAGGAATTGTGAATCTGCACCCCAAGGTCTCTTTGTTCGTCAAGGCTCCCCTGGTTTGCCCTACCAAAATGCAACACCTCACATTTATATAAATTAAATTCCATCTGCCACTCCTCAGCCCATCTGATCAAGGTCCCATTGTACTCTGAGATAACCTCCTTCACTGTCCATTACACCATCAATTTTGGTGTCAACTGCAAACTAACCATTCCTCCTAGTTAAATGTTATGAGTATTTTTGCCACTACCATCTTTGCAAGCATGAGTTCCAGATTTCCATTACTCTCTTGGTGAAAAAAGGTTTTCCTCACATCCCCTATATACCTCCTACCCCTTAGCTTAAATCTCTGCCCTCTGGTCTTTGATTGCTCCATGAAGTTTCTACCCTATCTATGCCCCTTATAATTTTATATACCTTGATCATGTGTCCCCTCCTCAGACTCCCCTGCTCCAAGGAAACAACCCCAGTCTGTCCAATCTCTCTGCATAGCTAAAATTCTTCAGCCCAGGCAACTTCCTGGTAAATCTTGTCTGCACCCTTTCCTATGCAGTCACATCCTTCCTATGACATGGATTCCAGAGCTCCATAGTATCTGTGGCCTTATCAATGCTTTATACAGTTCCAGCAAAACCTCCCTGCTCTTAAACTGTGTACCTTGGCTAATAAAGATAAGTATACCGTGTGCTTTCTTAACCAACTTTTCCTGCTACTTTAAGGGACCGATGGGCATGCACATCGATGTTCCTCTGATCCTCAGAGCTTCCCGTAGTCTTACCGTCCATCATGTATTCCCTTATCTTTATTTGCCCATGTGCCTACCTCACACTTTCCTGGATTGAATTCTATTTCCTGTTGATCAGCCCATCTGGCCAAACTTCTATATCCTCCTGTAATTTAAGTCTATCCTCCCCACTCTTTGCCACCCACCAATTTATGTATCATCTGCAAACTTAGTGATCAACCACCCCTACGTCTAAGTCTGAATCTTTTATGTATACCAACACCGATCCCTGCAGAACCCCACTGGATAGAGGCTTCCAGTCACAAAGCACCCCTTGACCATCACCCTCTGCTTTCTGCCATTCATCCAATTGTGGATCCAATTAGCCAAATGTCCTTAAATGCCATGGGCTTTTACCTTCACTGTCAGTATTCCATGCAGGATCTTATCAAAAGTCTTGTTGAAGTCCAAGCAGACTGCAGCAAATGCATTGCCCTCATATACACATCTGGCCACCTCATTGAAAAATTCAATCAAGTTGCTCGAGTTGAACAAAAATAGAAATTGCTGGAAAAATTCAGTAGGTCTGGCAGTATCAGTTGAGAGAGGGCAAAGTTAACGTTTCGGTTTCAGTGACCATTCTTCACAACTGGTCAGGCATGATCTCCCTTAACAAAACCATGCTGACCGTCCTTGATCAATCTCTGCCTCCACATGTGCAGATTCATTCTGTCCCTTAGAATTGTTTCCAATAGTTTCTCTACCATTGAGGTTAGACTGACTGGCCTGTAGTTTCCTGGCTTAATCCCTTGCCCCCTTCTTGATTAACAGTGTCACATTTGCAGTCCTCTAGCGCCTCTCCTATGGCCAGAGAGGAATTGAAAATTATTGCCAACGCCCCTGCTATTTCCTCCCTCAACATCCCAGGATAATTTTCATCTGGTCCTGGAAATTTCTTTAAGGATATAGAGATGGTTCATACAGAATAGCTAATGTTGGCAGAATTGGTTCAGTGCTTAGTTGAGTGCTTAAAGATCTAATCTTTTGATCTCAATGACACTCCTGGGTAACATCATTGTTAAGGAAAGTCAATGATGAGAAGCTGAGGTTGCTGACAGAACATTGGAAAAGGATTATAACTTAATACAATGGAGCAGTACTGTGCGTTTTTAACAATTTGTTTGTTGACCCAAGGATCATAAGGTCCACAACAAAGTTAAACGCAAAAACCTATAGATCAGAAACTCAAATCTTGATGTCCCAAATGAATTGTAAAAGTCATATAACCAATGATATGAAACCCCCTCAAAATACCATATTCAGTGCACTTGCTTTGCCTTACCTATGTGGTTTACCTGTAATTAGGTAAATAGGCACGGTGACTCAGTGGTTAGTATTACTGCCTCACAGCACCAGGGACCCGGATTCAATTCCACCCTCTGGTGACTGTGTGGAGTTTGCACATTCTCCCTGTGCCTGCGTGGGTTTCCTCTCAGTCCAGAGAAGTACAGGTTTGGTGGATTGGCCATGGGAAATTGCCCATAGTGTCCAGTGATGTGGTAGGGGGCTTAGTCAAAGGAAATGCAGGGTTACAGGGTTTGGGTAGGGAGAGTGGACTCTGTGTGGGATAGGGTCTTCGGAGGGGTGGTGTGGAGTCGATGGGCCAAATGGCCTTCTTTCCACACTGTAGGGATTCTCTGATTCTAAGTGGTGGTCTTTTAAGATGATGTTGTGCGTATAGCCTGAGCAGGTAGTCAGCACCATCAGGAATCACTTGATTATCTGGACTGTATGTAGCTTCATGATTTTCACTTTAGGCCTTCTTTCCATCTTACTCTTTTATAATGATCGTAGGAACATTCAGCCCATCGAGCCTGCATTTTGATATATTCATGGATGATCAAACACAACAATCCCTTTTACCCATACTGTTGCCTAAACTCTTGACACCAGGCATAATCAGAAATATTTCAGCTGCTCTCTTAAATACAGCCCTTTTTGGTAGAGAATTCCAAAGATTCATGAGTGAAAACAAATTCCTCATAGAGTCACAGAGTACAGAAATATCTTGATCCTAAATAGCATCCCCCTTGTTTTCTCCGGTTCTAGACTCCTCCACCCAGGGAAACAGCTTAAGTGTATGTGCTATATCTACGCCTTAAATATTTTGTAAGTTTCAATGCGATCACCTCTCAACCTTTGTCTAGAGAATGCAGGCCCAGTTTGCTTAATCTCTCTTCATAGGAAAGTCCCATTATCGCAGGAACAAGTTTCGTGAACCTGTGTTGTACTCCCTCTGTGGCAATAATGTCTTTCCTGAGATAAGGGGATCAAAACAGTGTGCAGTGCTCTAGGTGTGACCTAACTAAACCCCTGTAAAATTGAAGTAAGACTTCACTACTCCTACGCTCAAATCGTCTTGCAATAAAAGCTAATATTCCAATAGCCTTCTTGATAACTTGCTGCACGTGCATGTTAGCCTTCAGTGACTTATTGACAAGGACACCTAGTCCTTATGCATGTCAACACTTCGCAATATCTCACCACTTAAGAAATATTCTGCACATTTGTACTTCCTATAAAGTGGATAATCTCTCATTTTTCTACATTGTATTCCATCTTCTATGCTGTTGCCCAATCACTGAGTCTATCCAAATCCTCCTGAAAACCTTTTGCATCTTCCTTAGGTACACATTCCTGTTTAACTTTGTATCGTCTACAAATTTGTAGAGTTCACTTAGTTTAATTGTTTGCATATAGCTGGCATCTAATAATCTATAATAAATAGTGATTTCTTGTTGAGAACAGAAGTTTGATCTGTGCTTTCCAGCAGTCTGTACCTGAATATCAGATAGCTTGGGGATTTTGCATATTTTGAAAACTTCAACTTTTATGAAGAAGCCAGGAGTAGTTGGGTTTGATTTCCAGTGTACTACCCCAGTGGATCATGACAGATGTCCCTATTCTCCTCATCCTTTCTTCATCTGTTTTGCAGAAATAGCTTGCTTAACTCCAGGAGTTTAGAACTGTTTCTGGAGAAACAGTGAAAGCGCACCTCCAAGAGAGAGTCCAGCTGAAGATACAAAACATGATAGCCGAGTTGGTGGTCAGACTTTTTGTAGACATAGGAATTTTGAACCCTGTCTAATTTGAGAAATCTGTGCCAAATAATTACTGCAAATGTTCAAAGATATCAATCAAATCTCTCTTTAGATCTATTATTTACAACTTTACAGTCTGTTATTAAGTAATCTCATGACATAGATTCCTCAGATAAGCTGGTTGATGTACCTAGTTCAGTTTTATCCCTGTTCATTAGATTCTCATTGATTGTGATATCTAAAATCTCTTCATAGGTTCGATGAAGTTTATTATGGACAGTTTGTCTCCTTGTACATGAAACAAATGTTTTTTATTGACGACAGCGGACCTCCTCTTGGTCACATGATTCTGGCCTTTGGAGGTAAGAAACTGCAGCTTTTAAAGAGAGGTTTTGGACAATGACTGAATTCACCAATGTTTTTATTATCAGCCATTTTATTAAAGAGAAATAGAACTTTGCATCATCTCGGGGAATAGTACATTGCTGTTACCAATAACACTGGAAAGCTAAGAACAGGAATATTTGTAAATGCACATTCTCACTTGTACCTTTCTTCATGTCTTGTATCCTCCCGGCTGTATAGGAAGCAAAGTTTTTTTAATATCTGAGATAGTTTGGGAAAATGAACTGACTAGAATGAGAATGGGTAGTTGTTGAAGATTTACTTCTGGTATTATTATCTCCTATTATTATCTCAGTGACAGCAACTTGCTTAGGGTTCACTCACAAGTGATCTTTCTAATATTAAGCTTAGTTATGTTGACTGATAACTGTCTTCCATGTTATGTTTCCTGACAAAATGGCATGCCTGATTCCCAGGCTCCAGCTATCTTGGGGACATGTGCTGACCCAAGAGAATATCACATCACATTTCCAAGTGTTGGAGTTTTTTTTAAATTCATTCATGGGATGAGGGTGTCACTGGCTGGGCCACCATTTACTGTCCATCCCTAATTGCCCAGAGGGTAGTTAAGAGTCAACAACATTGCTGTGGGACTGGAGTCACAGGTAGGCCAGACCAGGTAAGGATGACAGTTTCCTTCCCTAAAGGACATTAGTGAACGAGATGGGTTTTTCCAACAATCAGCAACCGATTCATGGTCATCGTTAAACTCTTAATTCCAGGTATTTATTGAATTTAAATTCCACCATCTGCTGTGGTGGGATTCAAACCCAGATCCCCAGAACATTACCTGGGTCTCTGGATTAACAGTCCAGCGATAATATCACTAGGCCATTGCCTCCGCTGGCAGTAAACATGGCCTACCTAATTCTAGGCTGAGCATTTCAGCTGTTTACTCTGCTTGTAATCTTTCTAGAATTTGTCTCAGTTTTGCAAGCTATATAATGCCATTAGTGTGTAGGCCAGTCGTCTTCATTTACTGTGGATATTAGTGGCTTAATAACTAGCCCATTATAAGCCAAAACAGAAATTGATAGAAAAGGTCAGCTGGTCTGGCAGCATCTGCAGAGAGAAACCAGAGTTAACGTTTCAAGTGCAGTGACCCTTCTTTAAAACTGATAGTAGCTAGGAAAAGGTTGGTAAATATTGCTAAAGATAGGGGGGGAGAGGAGTAAGTAACAGGTGGAGACGGAGTTCAGAGAGAGAAAACAACAGTTGGGCAGGCAAAGGAATGGGTAAAGGTCAGCCTGGGAAAATGAATAGCTGCCAGTGGGGACCATTAACAGCTGACAGTGGATTGTTTGTAGTAGCAGGCCATATGTTGACAAGTACTGGTGTATGGGGGACATGGGAGAGGATATTCAGGCCCTAAAATTAATGAACTTGATATTAAGTCCAAAAGGCTATAGCATTCCCAAGCGGAAAATGAGGTGTTGTTCTTCCAACTTGTGCTGAGCTTCATTGATGTATTACAGTAAGCCCGAGAGAGAGATGTTGGCCAGGGAACACGGTGGTGTGTTGATGTGGTAGGCACTGGAAGCTCAGGGTCATTTCTGTACACAGAACATGGGTGTTCTGCAAAGTGGTCACCCAGTCTGTGCTTCATTTTCCCTATGTAGAGGAGACCACACTGTGAGTGGCAAATACAGTAGATTAGGTTGAGTGAAGTGTGGGTAAAGTGTATATATACCAACCTTTTCCAGACAGTTCTGATGAAGGGTCACCGGATCTGAAACGTTAAGTCTGCTCTCTGTCCGCAGGTGCTGCTAAGTCTTTTTCCAGCATCTTTTGATTTCCAGCATCCACAGTTCTTTGCTTTTTTTTTATGTTAGGCCTCTTATAAAGGGTGTGAACCATTTTCTTGACCTGGCTGTTTCTGTTCTTTGCACATTTCCAAATGGGCTATTGTTTATACAGCAAAACCATGTTAAGATTTCACTTTCTTCTACTTTTATCACAGTAAAAATGCTTTAATAAGTGCTGGAATAGCCTGACCATTGAAAATATCTTAAGTTTAACAGTGGCCTATTGTTTTCCCTTTTCAATGCCCCCACGACCTTATAAACAGATACAGATGAACAATGATTATTGAGCTAGGTGTATGCTTGTGATGAGTAACAGTTACAAATGGTTATAAAAAGGTATGTAAAGATTGAATCCAGTTCTATCCTTCATTAACTGGCTTTATGGAGTATTATTGCTGCGATCACAAGGTGCTGTTAAGTGATTTTTACTGAAGCAGTCTGCATGCTATGGATACCATGTAAGCCAAACAAAGGTATTCTAAAGCGAGAGGGTGATGAAATATTTGGGGACTTCAGAGAGGATTGGAAGGTTAGAAATTGGCAGGTGAAATTGGAGTGTCTCAGTTGTCCTTCAGCCTGAATGACCTGGTAGAGACTAAATGTGCCAAAGTTCTCATTCTTAACTGCTTTCCAGTGGCACTTGCTGAAAATCAAATTGTGTGACAGATTAAGTCATAAATTACACAACACCAGGTTATAGTTCAACAGGTTTATTTGAAATCACAAGCTTTTAGAGCACTGCTCCTTCGTCAGGTACTCCGAAAGCTTGTGATTTCAAATAAACCTGTTGGACTATAACCTGGTGTCGTGTGACTTCTGACCTTGTCCACCCCAGTCAAACACTGGTATCTCCACATCATGGAAGATTAGGCTGCCGTTATCAAGTAATCAATTGACAGTCATGTACTGGTATATCAGTGGGCTTCTACCCATTCTATCATGACTGTCACCTTTTAGAGCATTGAAGGGAAGTAATATACAACCAGGTAAGTAATGGGAGCAATAATAACTCACAGCGCAGGAGGTGCAATAAAAAAGCAGCAGCAGAAAACAAAGTCTAAATTGCAATTTGGCTGTTGGAACTGTCTTCAGTCATGGTGAAGCAGTGACTGTTTTAATTATTGGAATAAACTTGATTTGCTTTTCTGTCTATTCTCAAAAGTATAAAATTGCCAAGGGACTGTGAAAGCCGTTTAACATATGTTGCCTTTGAAAGTACTAATAGCTGTACGTATATTTGGCATTTCATTTGCAGCATATTTTGGTGGCTTTGATGGGAACTTCGCTTGGAACAGAATTGGTGCAGGTAGGAGTTACCTGTTCTTTTCACTATTGTGTTTATTGTGGAAGCAAGCTGTGGTGTGATGGCCCAAGGTAAGTAGCTCTCCACAAGTGAAGTTGGAAACAGCAGGTCTCACAAAAAAATTGGTATCATCTGTTGCGTACATGCCACCTACTGGCAGCAAATAAAACCTTGGGTTCTGTCATATATTGCAATGATAATGATTTTTGAAGTTGCTCTGGCAAGCAGGTGTAACATAGTCATGGGGGTGTTCTTTCTCTAGCAGTGTGACTGATTTAAGGAATACCATGTGGGTACCCTCGTGTATTTTACCAATGTTGCAATTCCACTGGGTCTCAGTCATTACAAAATTGAGGATATATGGATAGCAGAAACTGGGTTGAAATGAGTCTCAAGCACGTTGTTTAAAATAGGCTTAATGTTTGGATTTCTGGTACTTTTGTACGTAATGAAAATATCTATCAGCAGCTACTAGGATGTATTTTCAGGATGTTTTGCTTTGAAAATGGTTAATTTTACACTTTATAGAAGGTACAGGGGCCTGGTCTTATAATAGTAGACTAGAAATCCAAAAACCATCAGTCAAATTCTCCACTTTGGCAAATTGTGAAATTCTGTTCAATTAACTCGGCAATTTATGGGCTAGGACCAAAATGATTTCTGCGCATAATGCTTATGTAATAATGAAGTTATTCAATAATTAGTTGTTAACTGATAAATCTGACTCCTTATCAAACTAGCCTGTTGTGTCTGTGCCAGCTCTTCAAATGAGCATCTCATCTAGATTCTCCAGCTTTCTTCCCCACAACCCTGCGCATCCTATTTTAAATAACTGTCCAAATCCCTTTTGAATGCCACTATTGAACTTGTCTCCACCATTTCAGACAGCACATTCTGGGTCCTAACCACATGCTGCTTGAGGAAGCTTTTTTCCCATATTACTTCTGCCTCTTTCACAAATTTTTAAAATATGTGCCCCCTCATTTTTGATTCTTTCATGAGTGGGAATATTTTTTTCCCTATTTACCCTGTCCAGAGCCCTCATGATTCTGGATATTTCAATCAGATCTCCTGTCATCCTTCTCTTCTCCAAGGAGAACAGTCCCAGGGTCTGCAATTTACCCTCATAACTGAAATTCACCTTTAACAGGGAATTTCAGTGTGAACCACCAAGAGACGATTAGTGGATTGATAATAACATCTCTAACAAAGCTGTTGGGTAGAAATCAAAAATCAATTTGTGACTTGATAGCGAATGTACCAAATCAGGGTCAGATTCTATTCCTGTCTTTTTATTTGTTCATGGGATGTGGACATTGCTGGCTATTGCAAATCCTTAATTGTCCTTGAGAAAGTGGTGATCAGCTGCTGTTTCAACCGCCATAGTGTTTAGGGGGTTTTAGGGACACCCAGAGTGCTGTTAGGAAGGGAGTTCCAGGATTTTGACCCAGCAGTAGTGAAGGAACGGTGACATTGTTCCAACTCCGGATAGTGTGTGAACTTGCAGGTTGGCACGTGCCTATATGTTTGCTGCCCTTGTTCTTTTAGATGGTGATGGTTGTTGGTTTGGAAGATGCTGTCGAAGAAGCCAAGTCCTCTAACTGAGGACAGCAATTCACTGCATTGGTTTTTCCTTCGTTATCCTGATCCCTTGTTCTCAAAAGCATCCATGCCTATATCTGTATTCTTCCCCTAAATACTATCATCTGAACACACCACCTTCCATACGCAGCCCCAACCTCACACTGCCCCACCTCATTTAATGCCCCCAGTGCTGCTGATTTAGCAGCTTGTCTGACACCCTGTGTTAAATGGGCAGAATTTTCTTCCAATTAAACAGTGGGAAGACCCAAATTCGTTGCCTTCAGTTTCACAGAGAAACTCCATTCCTCCCATCTCCAAAAGTCTTTGCAATCTCTGGCAGCGCTGCCTTCAGCTTTCATGCCCCTAAATACTCACATTCCCACCTTAAGCCTCTTCCTTTCTACCACTTCTCCTTTAAGAGACTCATTCAAAGATACCTCTTCCTAATCTCTTTACATGACTCAGTAAATGTTTATGTGAAGCATCTTGGGATATCTTATTGCGTTAATGGTCCTGTATTAATGCAAGTTGTTATTTAGTTTAGTTTGCTTTTCCTTACTCTTTTTGATTAAAGTTCATCTTGGTTAATCAAAACTGCCTTGTTCTTTCCCAGTACCTTTCTCTGACTCTTGAGTTGGTAATATACAAATTCTCCCTCATCTTGATGATCACTCTGCTAACTCCTGTTTAAAACATCTGGAGTAAGCCAGTCAGAATGAGACAGCTTAATCCCTGTGGAATCTTTGCCAAAACTTTTAGAATGGGCAGTCTGCTGATGTTTCTCCAGTTCTGTCGGCTACAAATGAATGTAAGTCAGAGTGGGTATAGTTTAATAGGTAATCTTCCTCTCTGTCACTTGTAATACTAGAATATTTATGCTTTCTTTCTTCTTAGAATACACGGGGAATGTCCCAGTTTGGAACCTGAGGTTTCTCCCAGCTCTGGCTGGTGCACTGTGCATCTCGCTGGCATACCAAATCGTAGTAGAGCTCAAGTATTCACACTTCTCAGCTCTTATTGCTGCTCTCCTTATTATGTTCGGTAAGAGCAAATAGAATAGAATAGTCATTTATTGTCACTTGTATTTTTAAAATAATACAGTGAAAAGTGTTTAAGTCACCTACCACAGCACCTAAATTAATAACAAGGAATTGAAAAGAAAAAAGCAAATTTAAGACTTGGCCCACCTTAGTTAAATTCACAGCTCCAGGGTTCGCGAAAGACAGTATCACTGCAAGACTGCCACGCTGAGCCGCTGGGATACCAGCTGGAAGCGGCCGCCGAAGCAAGCCATCTATGCCAGGCCGCCAGAACCCCAGGGCACGAGACTCCAAGGACCAATCTTGTTGCCAATCCTGGGAAGGAAGATGTTGTAAAAGCATCCCAAAGGAATCCTGGGCCATCCCACTGAAGACACCAAAGCTGCAATTAGAAAAATGAATTGTAAAGAGTTTTCTGCCAATTAAGTTGTGACACGGCTTTGTTTTTAAACCAAGCATAGATACATGTGGAATGTTGGCATTCTAATTTAGTGGCTGATACAGGAATAAGAAGCTGTAGATGTTTGTCCTTTGTTCTCAAGTGTTGTGTGGGGAGTCCTATTCAAATTGCAAAAGCATACGTGACATCACATGTAGTTCTAATTTAACATAAAGACAGCATTCCTGACTTAATTCTGATTTCCCATTTCCCTTCATTAACTCATGTCACTGTTACCTTAGAATCTTAACTAGTGTCTGGAGCTTTGCAATTATTAATGAATTGATCCCTTAATCCCCATTTTTATCCATGGTGCCCACTCCTTAGTCTATCCTGAGGAGCTAGGAATCCAGAGTGATTCTGCAGAAGTTTGTTGACCTATTTGGATTACTACTTTTAAAATGGTATTATAAGAATAAATATGAGTGTTGGAGCAAGTCTGAGGAGTCGAATGGTTTACTCTTCCTCTGACTTGCGTTATGTATCTGCTTTTATAAGCATTGGTGTCAATTATAAATCATTTATGCAATATTTCTAATTAGTTCAGTGTTGTAGTTATGCTCTGTTCTTTTCTTTGAAACAGAAAACTCCTTAATAACCCAGTCAAGGTTTATGCTTCTGGAATCCATTCTCATTTTCTTTGTCCTGTTGGCAGTTTTGTCTTATCTGAAATTCTACAATATGCAGAAAGACAGGTACGCCAAAGCATGTACGTCTTCATGTTGTGAAAATTGGAAGGAATACAATGAAAAAGTTAATGCTTCATTCATATCGATTCTGGTTTATTTCAGCTCGTTCTCGTTGAGGTGGTGGTTTTGGCTTTTCCTAACTGGAATTGCTTGTACACTGGCGATTGGGTGAGTTTCTTAACAAAGTTTTCAAATTAGGAACTGCAGTTCATCTGCTCGAGCAGCACTGTGATAGGCTGAGCAAGAGAAGGTGAAGGCTAAATTAATGTTGTTGAAGCTAATCTCTCTGAAAAGATAGAATTATTGCAATGCTTCAAACTGTATTTGGGTCATCTGTAGGAATTTATACTTGTGTTAACCAGCTTAAGAATCAGGTGAGGAAGTAGAAATGGGGATTTGGACTGTCCTTTTGTGAACCTGAGGGATTGTTGACCTAAGAGAACCAGAAATGTGCTAACATTAGTACCAATGTCTGTGGTGAGCATTAGTTCTCTGCTTTGGTGACATTTATGGGTCCTCCGCTTCGGCTCTGTACTCCCTGAGATTTAAAAAAAAAATGAATCGATGGTTCAGCTTGGGTTCCCACTCCTGAACATTCTCTGTTCATGCTTATTATAAAGTCATGAGCTTTTCATTGAATAATAAGACTTGCAGCTCAGACGGAAGCTACTTGCTTTGTCATTTCTGGCTTTTTGAAAGAGCTGCTGGTGCTTGTTTCCACACTCCTGCTTTATGTGCTTTACCCTGTAAGTTTCTCATCTCTCAAATATCAATCCAGCTCCATTTTAACGTTATTGCTGGATTCAGCTTTCACCAGATCTGTTGCTATATTGTTCCTGATCCTGATAACTCTGAACCTCTAAATCTTTAGCCAATGACCTTAAATTTATAACCTTGGATTACAGACCCACTCACCAGCGGAAATAGTTTTTCTCTGTCTACCCCGTTAAAACCTCTCACTGTCTTAAGAACCTCTATTAGCTCACTTCTTAAACTTCTGGTGTTGCAATGGGAATATCCTAACTTGACTGGCATGACATACATAAATATCCACTCCCTCCACCACCAATTCTCAGTAGCAGTAGTGTGTACCATCCACAAGATGTGTTACAGAAATTCACCAAAGATCCTAGGCAGCACATTCCAAATCCACAACCACTACCATCTAGAAAGATGAGCGCAGCAGATACATGGGAACACCACGCCCTGTAAGTTCCCCTCAAAACAACAAACTATCCTGACTTGGAAATATAGTCATAGAGATGTGCAGCACAAAAACAGGCCCTTTGGTCCAATTTGTCCTTGCTAACCAGATATCCTAAATTAATCTAGTCCTATTTGCCCTCTAGTTTTGGATTCCCCCACCCTGGGGAAAAGATCTTGGCTACTTACCCTATCCATGCCCCTTATGATTTTATAAACTTCTATAAAATCACCTCCTCAGCCTCTAATGCTCCAGGGAAAATAGCCCCAGCCTATTCAGCCTGTCCCTATAGCTCAAACTCTCCAGCCCTGGCAACAATCCTTGTAAATCTTTTCTGAACCCTTTCAAGTTTCACAACATCTTTTCTACAGCAGGAAGACCAGAATTGAACACATTATCATTATTCTTCAGTGTTATTGGGTCAAATATGTGGAATTCCTTCCCTAATATCATCGTGGGTCCACCTACCATGCATGGACTACAGTGGTTCAAGAAGGCAGCTCAGGACCACCTTCAAAGACTTTTAGGGATGAGTAATAAATTTTGGCCCAATTAGTGATGCCCATGTCCCATGAGTAAATTAGTAAAAACTCTTTGAGCCTGTCCTCTTCAGCTGTTTTCTAACCCTGTCTATGCAGCTCATTTTTATACCAGCTGCATAATCAACCTACTGAATCTTTGTAGGAACTGATGGCACTTTCTGCACCTACCATTGCTTTTATTTCTGCCTCAGTCCTGATTCTTCAGAAAGATTAACAAAACGTCACCTGTCCTGGACCATGAGCACTGCCACATCTTCTATCTTGTGTAGTTATTTGTTCAGATTTAAAACTTAGTGTGAAAAATTAGATTCTCTGTTATTAGCTTGATTAAAAGAGTAAGCTTTAACTTTCTGAAGACTGGTCCATTGTTGACTTTGACTTTGTGTTGACAGGGTCAAATATATGGGCTTGTTCACTTATCTGCTTCTATTGGCTATTGCTGGAGTACATACCTGGCAGATAATTGGCGATACATCATTATCCAATGTAAGTATCTATGTTGTTGACTTTAATTTACCTTGGTACGCAGAAAGTTTTTCTGAGCTGTGAACTGGTTGATGAGTTTGAAGCTTGAATACACATGTTTACTGGCAGATGTCTTGTGGCATTGCTGCAGTAAGTCAGAGGGTAAGGACAAGGGTAATATGTCATATGATATGCAAAGATAATATTCATAATTTGTTAAAGTAATGTTCCATTGAGGCCACAGAGTCTGATTGCTGTCAACAGGCACATCCTGATGGGGATTAAAAGGTTGAAAGCAAAGAATGTTACAATTCCTTCCATAATTACAGGAAGCCCCAAAGTGCTTAACAGTCAATAAAATACACCTTTTGTGCATAGTCACTGCTCAAATATGACAACCAATTTGCACACTGTATGGTCCCACAAACAGCCATGTGAGCAAGTTAGTACTGTTTGCGCACACGTCTGAGAAGATGTTTGTTTCTCTGCAAATGGGCACGGTTGCACATTGGTCCCTTCCATAGTTGGAAACACATACAAGCAATGTAATTAACGGTTGTTTTGCAATCCTGTGACAGATTTCCGACTAATTTACCTAGCAGCAGATCCTGCAGGGAAACTGGACAACGGTTGTAATGTTTGGCTGCTGACTGAGGTCATTATTTAAAGTCAGTGCAGACGTACAGCCCAAAGACAAGTAATCTAAATGACAAATTCAGCAATTCTCTCCAACTCATCCACAGGATGTGGGCTTTATTGTCAAGGCTGGCTTTTATTGTCCATCTGTAGGCAACTGGGTGTCTGGTTCAGTCTGCAGTTATGAGTCAACCACATTGCCGTATGTCTAGAGCCACATCAGCCAGACTGGATAAGATTAGCAGGTTTCCCCAAACAATGTTAGTAAACCAATGGGTTTTCACAACAACCTGTTTCATGGTCTCAATTACTGATGCGGAGCTTTTTATTCCAGATTTTTATTTTATTAACTCAGTTTAAACTCCTCAGCTGTTGTGGTGGGATTTAGACTCCTGGCTCCAGATCATTTAGCTCAGACCTCTGGATTACTCATCCTGTAGTGGAAATGCTGTGCTACCTCGGAATTGTAGCTGCATCCATATTAGACGGCTGTTGTAACTGCGAATAAATCTTGGCTTCCAGATGATAAAAGTCTCCTTAAGATACTGATTACAACTGTAGTTGCCCCTCGCTTCTGGAGAAGAGTCTCCAGATTTCTGAAGAAGAGTTGAGTAAGTTTGTTTTTTGAGACTCATTCAAACTGGCCACTAAAGTGTACTATGGCGGTAAAGGATTAAATATTACTGCGATCTCATGATATTACCACTGTGACGGTCCACTACGCAGAGGGAATGCATTGATTGACAGGGTTCAAATGTGTTTTCAAATTCTACAGCATTGTAACCAATACCCACTGTTCTCATGAAATCTGTCATGGAATTCTGCCCATTCCCGTGACTCGTCTGTTTTATTTTAACCAGCCAAAAGTGTTCCAAGCCCTCAGTTATATCTTTTTAATAAGTGTTGTCTGCTTATCGGCAGAATTAGAATTGAGCAGTTAAAGCGGGGCTGTGAGCATAAAAATGGAACTGCAGGTTCGCTGTCTTTGCATTGTAGATTTGAGAAAACTAGCTAGCTGATTGCATTATTTGTAATTTGACTTCAACAATTGCCTTAATTTTTGTGATGGGGCTTGGATGGTCGTCAGATTTAAAGCTTTGTAATTTCCTCAAAATCTACTTGCAGGTCACGGTGCTTTGCCATGTACTGGCGAGGGTGTGTGCACTTTTAGTCCTCCCAGTAATCCTGTATCTGGGATTCTTCTACGTCCACCTAACTTTGTTATACCGCTCTGGACCACATGATCAAATAATGACAAGTACGTTCCAAGCCAGTCTGGAGGTAAGAGCATACATGCTGAGCAGTAGTATCAGAGCATCAGTTGACATTTTCATTTAAGCTTCTGGTAAGGAGCAGAAAGAGAAGGAAAAAAAAAATGCATTCATGTTTACAAACAATGGATAGTAAGATGAGTAGATGAACAACATGACCTAATTGAATGGCAGAGCAATGGGCTGAATGGACTCCTCCTGAATTAGGAACAGAAATAGGCCACTCGGTCCCTTGAAGTTGCTCCTCTATTCAATAAAATCACAACTGATTTGATTACTCCACTTTGCCACCTATCCCCCCCATCAGTGTTCCCTTTAATTTTTGTTGCATTTGCATGGACTTCTGAGTAGTCTGAGCAGTTAAATTTCAACCAGAATGGAAGTGTACAGTGAAGGATGATAAAGTGTGTGCAGTTTCACAGCTACTGAGCAGCCATGCGTGCACTTACAGGGAGAATTGCCCCCAACAACACTAAACCCAGACTGGATGGAGTTTAATTTAGAAAAATGTAAGATGTTGCATTTTGGTAGGGCAGAACTTATAGTTAATCGTAGGGCCCTGGGGAGTGTTGTCGAGCAAAGAGACCTACAGGTGCAGGGGCATAGTTCCTTGAAAGTGGAGTCACAGATAGACAGGGTGATGAAGGCGGCCTTTGGCACGTTTGCCTTCATTGTTCATAACATTTGAGTATAGAAGTTGGGAGGGTCATGTTGCAGCTGTCCAGGACATTGGTTAGACCACTTTTGGAATACTGCGTTCAGTTCTGGTTTCCCTGCTGCAGGAAGGATGTTGTTAAACTTGAGATGGTACAGAAAAGATATACGAGGATGTTGCTGGGACTGGAGGGTTTGAGCTACAGGGAGACCCTGAATAGGCTGGAGCCATTTTCCCTGGAGCATCAGAGGCTGAGGGATGACTTATAGAGGTTTATAAAATCATGAGGGGCATGGATAGGGTGAAGAGCCAAGGTCTTTTCCCCAGGGTAGTAGACTCCAAAACTACAGGACACAGGTTTAAGGTGAGAGGGGAAAGATTTAAAAAGCACTTGAGGGTATAACATTTTCATGCAGAGGGTGGTGTGTGTATGGAACAAGCTGCCAGAGGAAGTGGTGAAACCGGGTACAACTACAATGTTTAAAAGGCATCAGGATGGGTGCGTGAATAGGAAGGGTTTAGAGACTTATGGGCCAAATGCTGGCAGGCAAATGTGACTAGATCAGATTGGGATGTCTGGTCGTTGTGGATGAATTGGACCGAAGGGTCTGTTTCCATACTGTATAACTCTATAACTGAAGGGAAGTGAAGAGCACAGGTGATTGGAAGCAGTAATAGGGGCTGGAGGAAAAGAAGGGAATTGATGTGAGTTTGAAATGTTATTGTAGGCTGACCTGACACGACTAATGATCCTGAGCATGTTTGTTTCTATTTCATGAGAAAATGTTCAGTTAATTCTGTTTACCAAACTGGCCTTGTGTGCTTCATTCTCCTTGATGAATGCCATGTAAGCAAAATGGTTCCAAAACTGATTCTTGGCAGAATTTGAAATTCACAGGAAAAAAAAACATTAATCAGATTGCTTGAAGAATTTTTCAAGTGTCCTTACATTCACAGAGATAGCAGGAACTGCAGATGCTGGAGAATCTGAGGTAACAAGGTGTAGAGCTGGATGAACACAGCAGGCCAAGCAGCATCAG